AATTAGAATGAGAATAGTTCTTTGAAACTTTAGATTTAGGACTGCTTGAATAACTGTTCGAATATGAACAATTATAAAAGCTGGTTTTACACTGAGAAGGAGAACCAGTTGAGCTTTGAGCACAAGAAAGGTCTTTAACTTTTTGTAAAAGCTGGTCTCGTTCTACAGTAACTAAATTATATTTAATTTTCAGTTCAGTTCTCATGTTCAGTTTAGTTTCAAGGTCTGTCTTTAGATCAGACAATTTCCTTGAAGTATCCAGGAGTTTACCTTCTAACTCCTTCTGAAGCATTTCAAACTGTTTGTTCTGACTTAGCAACTCGCTCTTCTCTTCATCTGAGCTGCCGTTGTCATTCTCCAAAGCGATGTCAAGCCACTTCCTCTTCTCAGTAAGCTCTTTTACAATTGCTGTATACTTCTTTGAAGTATTTCTTTTCTCTGAAGCAAATTTCTTTTTCTCTTCGTCTAAAGCCTTTTGCTTTAAGTCAATGCTTTCAGACAGTTTCTGCAGCTAGCTCTGACAGTCTTCGGAGATGTCTGTCTTTTCTTTAGCATGTTTCTCTCTTTCCAAAACAATAAGCTGCTCAAAATCCGAGATTTGCTTTAGAAGCATATTGGCGTTCAGCTCGAGAGAGTTAATCTTATTCTCATAAGATTCTCTTTCAGCTTCAAACTTTCTTTTAACGTCCATAATCCCCTTTCTTTCTATCTCTATCTCTTTTCTTTCATCATTTAAAAYCTTTTCYGCTTTCAAAACTTTTTCTTTCTCTAAGTTTAACAGCTCTCTTACTTCAATCATTTCACTTTCAGATTTATTCACTATAGTAGTTAAGTCCTCAACCTGTTTATTTAACCTAACTGCCTCTTCTGGATCAGCACAGATTTTCATCAGTTCATCCAGCTTTTCTTGCAAAATTCTCTTCTCTTCTTGCTCTCTCTGAAGAATACCATTCAGATGATTTGACCATGATATACTCTTGCTAAGACTAGAATCTACTTGAGCATACTTTTCGTTAAGCTCACGATATTCTTTAGTATAAAAAACTGCCATTTTAAAAAAAATATTGATCAGTTAAGGATCTATGCAGTGAAATCAGATAAAAAATACGAACAGTTATGCTAAAAAAAAAAGAAAAACACAAACACTGAAAAACTCACGCAAAAACAGATATACAGTGATCCAAAAAGAAAATCTAAACACAAACAATCTAAGAAACTAAAAAACAGTCTAAAAACAATAAACCAAGTCCAAAAATTATGACTTTAAGTCCAAATCACACCGATCCAAGTCCAAAACAAACAATAACCACTTTTTATGAAAAAAAAATATACTATCTGCTTCACTTGGGTGTTTCTCGTATGGATGTACTTCTCACGACACCTTCGTATCAGTCACTTTGCACTAAACAGCTCACAACAAAGAATCTGCTTGCTGCTGTGTAGAAACAGTCCAATCTTAACAATTCAGTTTAAATCAAGACAATCAGCTGAGCTGCTATATCAGTCCTGTATAGATGTGTATGCTGCTGTGAAGATTAGAACTTGCAAAATCAATACTGCTGCAATTCTTGTTGCCATCTAAACACAGCACATAATCTGTAACAGCCTCACTTTCACTGTGTCAAAGCGTTGCTGTTTTAGGTGTGTCTGCTGCACAAYGTAGTTACCAACAAAGCTGATTTAGACCTGTACACTTCTTAAACACTGCACACATACATCACAAACCCAATGCTGCTGCCTCTTCAACCTGCACTACCTGTTGAGCTACCTACTGTTTCAAATCTCAAATGATTCCTCCTGAGCTGCTGTTGGAACTGCTTTGCTGTCAAAATGTGCACGCAGACTGTTAACCAATGCTAGCTGCTGTCACAATTTCTCTCTTCTTGCTGCAGTCTTTTTCAACCTATTTTAATTGAGTGCTGCTGCGAAAACAGTCCTGCACACTTCTGTTTTAAACCAAAACAGATTAAAGAAACAAATAAAAATACACGACTGTTTATATGACAGCAAGGACCTGTTTAGTTGTGCAACTGTTTAGTGACTTATGACAGTAAGTGCCTGCATTACCTGCTGCTATTAAACCTGTGTCAAACAAATTAAATAGAAACTGCTTGCTGTTGTGAACAAAACAAAACCTGTTAACTGTTAACTGCTGTTCTGTTTGCTATTTATTAAACAGATTAAACCTATTAATGCTTGAGTTGCTGTCAAGATGGTTGCTCAATCTGTCACCTTAACAGACTAACCAGCACACTATTAATAGCCTAATCCTACAATTTTCTTTAAAACACAGGCTGCTGCTGCTGTGAAATTGCTCCTACTGTTTCGGTTACGTCTGCTACATGCTTTGAAGTTGCTGCTGTTTCAATTCTTCTTGTTGCTGTCAAAACAGTAACAAAAAAAAATAATCCGGTTCAATGCTAAAGCAATCTAAAAAAATGCTATCCTGCTGTTTTGCTGCTGTGTATGAGCCTAACTGTTATGACAGCAAGCACACTCTAGCAGTATTCATAGCCTGCAGTTCACTGTTGCTGCTGCTGTTGTGTAGTAGCTGCTGCAGTTTAGTGTTGTTGCTGCTGTTTCTTTAAAGACCTGCTGCTTCTGCGGTGTATGAACCTAACTGTGAAACAGCGGCCGGTTAAAACTGTACACAGTTGCTTACTCAAGAATTCATACCACAACCCTTCTCTTCTGCTCCTTTTCCTTCGCTCAACCCACAAACACAAATCCCAAATCAAATCGATCCATTTATGTAAACGAAAATCTCCAGTCTTTCAACCACACTTTTGAATTTTGATTCAATATATCATGGCTGAAACTTTGAGCTTGATCGATAATAATATTATCGTCACTCAAAAACCCATGGATTGTGGAAACCCAGGTGGGGAATCGACGGAATCTTTAGCTCCGCCGGATAAATCTCCTTTTAGAAGGATTGAGCATGTCTAAAACCTTTAAACTCAAACAAATTGATATGAGATTTAAAGAACCTGCAATTGAGTATGTCAGCATAGAAATCAACAGTTTGAACTCAGATCAAAGTCCGGTCAAGAATTCATCACAAATCATTCTGTTATCCAAATCCAAAAACTAAACAAATTTGATGGTTTACCCAAAACAGAATCAACTTTGAACAAAAACTATATCCTGGGTAATTAGAATTAAGCGGATTAGAAGTCCGCTAAAAAAAAAATAGTGCGATGCACAAGTCCTAAACCGGTCAAATGAAAAAGAAATCCTAACCTGAAATCAACCGGTGTAGCTTAATCCGTTCAAGAAATCTTACCTGCTGTCAGAACCCTAATCCGGTCAAGTGGTGACCGGTATAGATGAATACCGCTTGATGAATACCGGTCAAATCTTCTCCGGTGTAGATGAACACCGGCTGAATGAAAGCTTCAAGTGATGAGCGGTGAATATGAATACCGCTTGACGTTTACCTCTCCGCTCGATTTCTTGTAAATCCGATTGTCCTCTTCTGTTCAATTATCCATGAGGAAGAAGAGAACTTGTAAGCGGACACTTAGTCCGTTCAAAGGAATGGGCCAAAATTAGACTGAAGCCCAAACAAAAATTCAAGTGATTAAACACGGTGAATTTTAGACGGTTTAACAAAAACAAAAAAAATTAACAAAAAAAACAAAAACAGATCAAAACTCTTAAAAACACAAAAACTAAAAAAAATAAAGAAAAAATGGATCAAAACACTGAGTTACGAAAAAAAAATTAAGAACACAAAAAAAATTTAAAACACAAAAATCGATTAAATCTTGATATAAGTTGATCAAATCACAAAAAATTTGTGAATAACAAAGATTCACAATTCAATTTCGAACATATTGATCATGTTTTTAACATCAAAACACAAGATTTTATTGAGAAAATCGGATCAAAAACGAAGAAAAACTCAAGAACACGAAGAACACAAAAATTCAAAAAAAATAAAAAAATCCAGAAAAAATTCACTTATCTTCATACTCTTCCTCTGATTTCTTGCATTCCAGCTTTGATACCGATTGTGTGTCCACAATCATTGATCAATCTTTATATTAAGTTTCCTTCAATGGCAGATTCATGGATTTATCATTCAAGAACACTATGAACACTTTATGAATATTGAGAGGAAAAGTCAATCCTCTCAATTCAGTCAAACCTTCTATTATCAATGTATATTACAATTAGCTCACCTTCACACACTAATTACAAAGATTAAACCATATTTATATGGTCAAYYTAACTAAYAAAGTCAAAGTCAAACTAGTCTAAGAAAGTCAAACACGCTGACTTTACAATTATAGACTAAAGTTAATCTTTCAAGACGAATACAATTAATACTGATTTTTCAGTCCTAACAAGACCTCCAGGTCATTCCAGCATTCAGCGATCAAAGGAAGCTTGCTTAGCACGATTGTTGTTGTCTTGTCCTTATGCACACAAAGGACAAACCCATACCCTTGCAAAAGTTAGTACGGTACGGAGCCGATTAGTCGACTCTTTGTCGACCAACTTTAGGCAAGGATGTCTGCTAAAAAATAGTGCTTTTGTACCATTCACTATAGCAAAGGACAAGCCTTCCTCTTAATGCTTGACACACACTCTAAACCTACCATATTGCATTAAATGTTCATTTAATGCACTGAGTATAAATAGAAGTGTTTCTTCTCCATGCAGAGTGCGCGCATCTCTCTACTATCCTATTCTTACTTCAAGCATCTTCTAGCTTAAGTAAAAGATCTTCCTTTTAGCAATCTCTTTTCTTGTATTTGCTAAAGATCTGTGTGTAACCAAAGATTGTTTAGATAGGTTTTCTTTACCTTATCTTTCTGCAAACAGTCTTGTAAAATCTGTATTGATCTTCTCTATCAATATATATTTTAAATTTGAAAATACTGTGGTTGTATTCATCCCCCCCTTCTACAAACTGTTTATATTCTTGTAGACTCTTACGGGACCAACAAATTGTGATCAATGTGGTTAATGCTTCTTGCAAGCTTAAAGACATGCTTCGACAAAGTTACAAAGATAAAGTGCAAGAAACAATTGGTAAGTGTGAAACTGATACTGGAACAAGGAAATACCTAGAGCTTTCTCTTATACGAGCTGGGGATACACGGTGGGGTTCTCATTACAAAACCATTTTGAGCTTGATTGCTTTGTTTCCGAATGTTGTTGAAGTGCTTCGGTATGTTGAAGAGGACGGGGATAATGGTTTTAGTCGCACTCAAGCAACTGATATTTTACCATATTTGAAGACATTTGATTTTGTGATTTATTTGCATTTGATGTTTCATATTTTAGCGGTCACATACTTGTTGTCACGGGCTCTTCAAAAAAAGGATCAAGATATTTTGGAAACGGTTTCATTGATAAGAGGAACCAAACAACTAGTGCAACAATTTAGAGAAACTGGTTTTGATCCACTTTTGAAGAAAATGTATTCTTTTTGTGAAGCAAATGGTATTAAAGCTTTGGATATGGAAGACCGTTATTCAAAAAACGGAAGACAAAGGACCAACATCACCAATCGTCATTATTACAAGTTTGATATTTTCAACAATGTTGTGGACATGCAAATTCAAGAGTTTGAGGATCGATTTAGTGAGGTAAGTACTGAATTGCTTAAAAATATAGCAGCTTTGAGTCTATGCGATTCATTTTCGCAGTTTAATGTATCAGATTTATTGAAGTTGAGTGAGTTGTATCCTCAAGATTTTAGTCATATGGAAAGGATCGCTCTTGAGAAACAACTTAACATGTACTATTTGATTGTGCGTCAAGATGAAAGATTTGCCGATTTGAGTGGTATTGCCGAGCTCGCTAGATTGCTAGTGGAAACAAAAAAACATAAAACTTATCCTCTAGTATATCGGTTATTGAAGTTGGCTTTGGTTTTGCCAGTTGCTACCGCAACAGTCGAAAGATGTTTTTATGCTATGAAGATTGTGAAGTCAAATTTGCGCAACAAAATCGGTGATGAATTTTTGAATGCTGCAATGATATGTACTATAGAAAAAGAAGAACTTTAATAAGTTGTACTTATGCACAATTTACTTGTAATCTTGAATTTTAAGTAATATGCATCAGTAAACAGTACTTCATGCATAAAAAATGTTGTTTAAGAGTTTTTGTCAAATACTTTATAATATAGTATAAATAATTATAATATTAATCGTAATTTTACTTTCTTTCTTTTTTCAGCTTTATTTTTTGAGTTTGTTAGTCTTTTCTTTATGTTATCATTTTTATTTTACTTTATTTAAAGAACGAACATTTAGCTAGATTATAAAATTATATAGCAAAGTTTCAAACCGAGTAACTCAACCAACCATTAAGGTTTGGGTTAGGCTAGGTTGGGTTGGATTATAGTTTTGCTTAAAGGGGGTGTTTGGGATTTTTTATTTGAAACAACTTATGTTTTTCTACAAAAAACACTTATCAACTTATTATAAGTCAGAAGAGTTTGACTTCTTCAAAAACTTCTTATTACCGATTTAACATTGATATAAATTAATTATCTAAACATTCAAAATTATTTATTACTGATGCCACACCAAAATTGTTATCGATTTGTTTTTCACAAGTAATACCAAACATCCGTTGTTCCAATGTGTTGGCCCCAAACCAACAAGGCCTTAAAAGCTGGTGTACCAGAGTTGGGAATTCAGCAGCCAACATTCTCTAAACGAAAAAGTGGAGGCTGGTGATAATGTCCGGTGCTAACTGCAAAGAAGTCGACCCAAGAAAAGAGGAGGAAGAAGAAGAAGAGGAAGAAGAGATGGTGACAGGAATGGGATCATACAAGGGGAAAGTTAGAATGGTGAGAGGAGATCCGTCAGATGAGATGATGCTGCTCTGGGGACTTCAACAGCCAACATTCTCTAAACCCAATGCTTTCGTCTCTCAATCTTCTCTCAATCTCACCCTCGATGCTTGTGGTCGTCGTCTCTCCATTTCCCAGTCCCCTTCTTCCTTGGTGAGTTGAATGTTTTTGCTAATTTTCAAGCTAAAACCCCAAATCCTAAAACCCTATCTTTTGTCATAGTAATTGAAATGTCTTAATTTACCCGCAGATCATAGTGCAATTCTCATTCACTGGAACTATTTCATCTTATAAGTACTTTGCATATTATCTAGTGTGTTCTGTTTATGTGCTTCAATGTCGGTAAGGTTTTAATTCAATGTTTTGATGTAATTACAACTATTAGGGGTTTTAACCACAAGGGTGGAGCTTGGCTCCAAAGGTTAAAAGTACCTGGAGGTCCAGGTTCAAATCCAAGAAGAAATACAAATCCCCTTGTGGCCACGGATGTTCAAATATGGTGACTCCGGACTAATCGTAAAGCATGTGGTCGGCCTGGGATTAGTCGCCTTGGGTTGGATATCCAGGCTAATAAAATAAAATAAAAACTATTAGGGGTTTTTGGTAAGTTTTGACTTCTGTACTGGACAACTTAACTTCCTATTTTCAAAATTGATTCTTTTCTCCATTTCACTTTGTCATTTAGCTTCATCTGAATTCTTTGTCTGAATGGCTAGAGCACCATTTTACAATCCTTGCTTCATGTCAACAACCGGTCTTTATTAGTTAAGCCTACGACTTCTTTCGAGTTCTTCGGCTTCTTTATCTCCATCTATGCATGGGCTAGGAGATGCTTTCTTCAAACCTTCATTAGTTGAGAAGTGATTTTATCTAAAAAAATTCTGCTACTAATGGAATGTCCTTCATCTTTCTGGTGTAAGACTTTTCTGGGTTCTTGTTTCAGAGTTCCCTGCTTTGTGGTAGCTTCATGTCCATCAAGTTTTCCTTTCAAAGAGCACTTTAGTTGGTGGTTTATACACTGCTAATGTATCAAGGCCATTTTATTAGGTTTTTTACTGCTTAACTCCTAGTGTCTATGTTACTGTGACAAGTTCTATCTATTTTCATTACTTTATGTTAATTGCTATATTCTAGGGCGCTCCTGGAGTTACTGGATCAGTCATGTGGGATAGTGGAATTGTTCTGGGGAAATTTTTGGAGAATGCGGTGGAAACAGGATTACTTGGTCTTCAAGGCAAGAAGGTTGTTGAACTAGGCGCAGGCTGTGGTTTAGTTGGGTAATAATGTTGGTTACGCCATTTTTGTCTTTTGCCCTTGTTAAACTGTCTTGATTATTGTGGTGAGATGCACGGCATTCTTAGTTTGATGATAATAGTTGTAAATACAAAGAAAAACTAACCAATTCGCTTTAGGGACATGCGAGAGCAGATGTATGTAGGCCATATTTGTCATAAAAGCCAAGGATAGGTCTTCATGTGCAGTAGAAACCAAACAAAACAAAACAAAATATATACAATAGAAGACTAGTCTTCATATTGCCTCTTTTTAAAGTTAAATATTCTCATATAGTGTTTCCAGTTGTATTGCAGCTCTTCTAGGTGCTCAAGTTATTCTTACAGATATGCCAGATAGATTGAGGCTTCTTAAAAAGAACATAGAAGATAATATGTATGGAGACGTGCGGGGTTGTGCAACAGCTAATGAACTCACTTGGGGGGATCGTCCTGAGCCAGAATTGGTTGAGCCATTACCTGATTTTGGTACTGTTTACCTTTTTGCCTCAGAGATCTGTAGCTATAAGTTTGTCGATATTATACCACATTCAAACAAGTAGAAAGTTGGACAAATACAATAGGAGTATCGTCATTACTTTCTTGTTGGACACTGGGGAAAGGGGGATTTTTATCATGCATGGTTTGAATGTTAGATTTCTTTTGAACTTAAAAGGTCCATGTCTTAATTGCTTATAATATGAAAATTTTAATTGGGTTATAGGTATACCTCCCTGATAGTTCTTTAGTTAAAGCTCCTTTAAGTAATGACTTAGCTGAAGTGTACAAGGAAGTTGGTTTATGAAAACAAGTCTTGCACGATGGACACACTAACAAATTACTCTTTTGTATTCAAACGATGTTATTCAAGTATTTTGATTATAATTACTTATTTATGATGTCCTGATAGTATATTGAATTTGTATCATTATGTTAAATTCAGAACATGAAACAAACAACGATTTATTTTAATCTTTACAGATATCGATGACTTATTTCATAAATGAAAAAGGAAAAACAATCAACCCCTAGCTTTATTGTTCTCTAGATCTTCCCATGAACTTATATGTATACATATGCATTTCTCTGTAATAATACTAGAGACTTTGTAACCCATTCTGCATCATATCTGGTAGTTGTTACAAACTCTAACGCCGACCACCCTAGCTCTTACGGAGTTCTGCCACCGGCAGCCGTGTTGCAAATGCATCATCTGTAGTTGTCGCACTGAGACAGGTTGAGCACCTCCGTCTTGAAGTTCAAACTCTTTGGCATCTCTATTTGGCTTGGAAAGTCTGCTTGCTTTCTGTGAGTACCTGTCCTGTCTTCAAGGCTTCTATGCCAAAATCATGCATTGTCATTGTATGTCCTGAAAAGAAACGTTCAAATTTAAATGATCCATGAGCTTTAATGCTGAAGGAGGCAACTTGTAGGAACTTCTGTTGTTCGGAAAAACGTTACACACGCAATAGGCACAACCCTACGCACAACCCAAAAACAAGAGAAGAACACAAGAATTAACGTGGTTCACACGATCAGATTGATCGTGCTAGTCCACAGGGGCAACTAGGTTTTTCTTTTTTTTAGGTGCTACCAATGTTTACAAGTACAATGACATTAATATATATAGACAAACATAATTAGGGTTATCTCCTAATCAAGGAAACTAGGGTAGAAACTAGGGCCGACTCCTTTTGGGCTAGGGCCGGCTCCTTACTTTATGCCTCCCTTTTGTCTAACTTAGTTGGCCGAAGCCTACATTCCAACAATCTCCCACTTAGAGGCTTCGAAACACGTTCACCTGCACTCCTCTGAACTTCTGTAAACACCAACCGAGCTTGAGCTCCCCTAGTTGCCACCTGCCTTCTCAACATTATTCCTGAAGGCCAGTTGAAGTCATACAGAACTTCAGCTTATCCAGCGTCACAGACTTGGTGAACATGTCTGCTGGATTCTTTGCACCTGAGATATTCTTCAAGTTCATCGTACCATCACTGATCAGYCCTCTGACAAAGTGATACCTCATCCCAATGTGCTTTGTTTTCCCATGATAGACTGGATTTTTAGCAAGTTTCACTGCACTCTCATTGTCATAGTGTAACGAATAATCAGCTTGTTTTTTCCCAAGTTCTTCAAGAAAAGTCTTTAACCATACTAGCYCTTTACTGGCTTCAGCAACTGCCATGTATTCAGCTTCTGTTGTTGATAAGGCCACACTTTTCTGAAGTCTGGACATCCAACTAACTACTGTTCCTCCCACTGTAAAAATATACCCAGTAGTGCTTTTAAATGTCTTTTTGCATCCACCCAAATCAGCATC